CCTCGAAAAGGAATCCAAGCAAATCATCCATGCTGCTGCGCCTGGTGGATGAATGTAATTTGTGACTTTTTGGAATGAATCCCGATGGATTTTTGGCACCGCTGCGATTTATAACATTTTCACAAGAAGGTAAACTATGAGGACCAGACTGTCTGTCGCATCCCTGAACACCCCGCTAACTCTTGTCGTTTCCATATCGGTGTGTAGCCCCTCCACGGGCTCCACCTCCTTGAGGTCCAAGCAAGGTCAGGCCTGGTTTTGAATTAGACGGGAGGCCAACTGTCCATACTGGGTGTGGTCAGCTGACGTAGCCTTCGGGGTGTCAGTGAGCCCCAAGTCTGAATGAATCGGGCGGGTTGGATTCCAGATCTATTTGTACCTCAACGTGCAATTTTCCGATGCAAGTATATAGACGTCGCATATGCCAGTGACGCTGACCGTCACTTTTTTTTTTTTCCTTGTCAGACTACAAGAACGACCCATACTCCGAAGGCAACCCCTGCAAGTCCATCTGTTGCCGAAAAGACCTGAAGACGGAGGAACCTTCACCGGGCGGTTGCTATGACACTAAGGCAAGTCCCGTGGCGCGCTTCTTCTCGATGATCAAACATGCCTCTTCAGCTCTTTTTTTTTCTGTGAGCAGGTGACCGATTTCCAAATGGCGGCGGAGTTCCGCGCGGAAGCGGTGAACGGGCCGACGACACAAGGTGGACTGCCGCCGTTCACGTGGGACGACTTCAGCGACTTCGGCCACCGGGGTCTGCCGCAGTACTACAATTTCACCTTCGTCACGATGAAGCCCCTCCTCTTCCGCCCTTAACTGATCTCCCGGCAAGGAAACTTGCTGCTCTTAAAAGGCATTTAAAATGAACGTGCCCGACGTGAACCACATGGTGACTCCTTAGACAATCAATAATTATGGCTATGAAAAAAAATTGTATAAAAAGGATACAATTTAATGCTATGACTTTTATTATGAAATAAAATTTGATGATTTTTTTTTTTTTAAAGCCACATTAACAAGGAAAGGTTGTGCAATACTTGTTGGGGGTTGAATGTTTTTTATGGAGACACGAAGCTGCGTCTTGTGTCTTATTATAAAATGTCTCCCAGCACAGACAGGGTATGTTTTAATTTCAGTCATTTTAGTCTTGCTCTTACGCTTTAACTAATCAATCAAAGATGTCTCAGGGTAAAGTGAGTCCGGATCTTCGATGCCTTCAACTTGGAAGTTTTGCATCTATAACTAGATTTGATAAAATGCCAGAGCAGTGCAGTCAGACTGTGAGTGCCAATCATCATTTTTGCCATTCAAGTTGTGTTTTTTGTTTTCATAATGAATGAAGCCGTGGGCTCCGTGCTCAACTCTCAGGGCTCTGCTGCAATGACTGCATCGATTTCTCAGCCCGTTTCAGGGTTAGGAAATTTACATCCACACTTTCAGCTTGACGCGGTGCTGCACGTTGGTCGCATTTGACGAATAAAGTCTTGAAGTCGGACCTTTTGCCGTCCTGTCTTTTGTTTTGCACTGCATAAATGACGTCGTGTCTATGCATGGAGTTTTAGACATCGTCCCGCGTGACTGCTGGCATTATTGGTTCTTGTACGCAAACTATTTAACAAGGGTCAGCGTGTTGACTTTTGTTGATGACCAACTTTTGTCTTTTTCGCCAATTGTCAGGCTAATCGTTCGAACATCTACATGAAATTCACAATGTGAAGTCAGGAACTCTGGTCCGTTGGAGCAGAAAGAGAGCAAGCCGTTTGTCTCTCGGGACCGGTGCGTGGACTGCATTTCATCGCATTCACCCCTTCCTGTGAAATGGAGGAAGTGAAACGTCTGTAAGGCGCCCGGTGTTATTTTCATATAAGAGTGGTTGCCTTCATCCACGAGGTCTCACTTTTTTTTTTTTTTCCTTGTTCGCATTTGTAAAAGTTACTCCTGCTGCTTGCAGAGATGACCAAGAAGAACTGTCCTCCTGGCACAACATGGGACAACCTTGTCAACACCTGCATCCGAGGTTGGGCCGAAACACGACCTGAACCTCCAACAGGTGAGAATAACAGAGCAATGTTGTGTGCCTCTTATTTATTTTATTATTTTTTTTAAATCGGCGACTTGGTATCATTCTGCTGCTATTCATATCTATCGACCATTGTTCCTCTTTAAGGCAATGTTGATATTTGTCCTCATGCCATCGTAAAATAACACAAAGACGATGTTGAGCTGCAAATGTAGTTTTTCTTCTTTTTTTAACTTGTCCTTTCATGTATTCCCAATAGAGTTGACCCCAGTTTTCCATCAGAGAAGCACATCTCCTGCTGCAAGGGCGGACCCGGATATCGCTCTGAATCCGGTTCTGTGGATTGTGGTGGTTTTGACCACCGTGGGGTCCATCATGGCTTTGGCTCTCTGGTTCATCATATACAAACGACAGAGCAGGCTCGGTAGAACCTCGGGTATGTGTGCAATTCCATAGTATCGATGCAGCGGAAATACAGGACGGCACAACGCGTTTTGTTGATTTTTTGTTGATTGTTTATTCCAACTTTCTCTCACATTCCAAAAACACATGGCCGAGGTGCCTATGTAATAGCATTTTATTGAATAATTTTACTCTTATCGCAGTGAGCTCCTGCCATCTCAAAAAGTCATTTTTCTATGGTTATCGTCACTTCTCCATCGCCAAAAAGCAGCAGCACTGTTTAGTTATAGTGTTCGCGTTTAAATGGCACGCCTGGGCTCTGACTCAGAGGACAGGCGTCTCAGGAGTATTTTGGAGGAAGTGGGCTAGCGGGTGCTGGGGTGTAACACTGCCTGATGGGAGAAACAGCGCAGTTTCTGTTCTTCTCTCGGGCCTCCCATGGGTCAACCCCACTCTCTTGCTTGTGACTCGAGTTCTATTCTTAGCAGGAGATCAAATGAGATCTCCTGGTGAACAGCACATGAAGTGACAGTCAAGGTGATCTCGAACAGTAAGTTATACTAAAGCTGTTAGAAGAGGCCAGCCTGTCATATCTTATGTTCAAAAAAAGTCGACAAAATCCTAAATCCAAAAGTCTGAATTTAAAGAGCTATGCTCAATTTTTGCAGCACAATCAAAAATCAAACGAAAGGAGAAACGAGACTCGCCCATCGGTAAATTGAGACGATGCAAACTGGGGTTAACCGTTACTTGCTTTTTTAACTCAGGGAATGTATGAAATTAGATTAGCATTTGAAGGAATTCCGCGTAATTTGACAAACGCTTCACTGTTGCACACACAATGAAAAGGACATGACCCTAGAACACAACACAATGCCTTTGCTAACTGCCCTAAGAATATGAAGTATTGTTAATCTGACACAATTGAATAGAAATCATACCAAAGTATTTCGTGAATTGGTATCTTTTCACTGGAAATAGTACGAGAGTTGAACGCCTCAGACATAACCTGTGTTTTATATTCATAGTTATATTGTGCTTTCTCAAAATGAACTGATGAGATGATAAATGTAAACGAGTTTCAAAATACTCAATTAATATTAAGAAGACAACTTGTTAAGGTTGTGGGGTTATTATTCTCCTCTCAATGTTCGTTTTCCCGTTTTGCTCTCTATGAGTCGCCCCCAGGTGGCGCAGGAAAGAAGTGAGCAGGGACGTGCACGCCTGGTGACATGAGCACTAAACTTCTAGTTTTAAGGCTTAACGGCGTAACAGAATTGCGTTGAATCGTTCCTTCTTTTGTTTTGATTATACTGGGGTACAATCAGTCACGCACCGTAACATCTGCCGACAAGTGTTGCCGACTCGTGTTCAAATACCCATTGCTTCAACTGAGGGGTTGTAACACCACAACACAAGTGCTACTTGTTTGTGCATTGATGGTGTTTCACCCCGTGTGTTAAATTAAAGCCAGTGGCTCTTGTGAAATATCGCCAAACACAAATACGCCCCTGCTCCACCACATCTCCAACTTCAATGTGCCATCAAGTACGTTGCAGTGTACATTTATGCTAATCTGTGCATCCAACAAAACTCAATGCAGCTTTTCTTACCTTTTCGCTATGACACGGGGATTTGATTGTTTCTGCTTTGAAGTGCCTTTGCATGATACGCTGGAGTGTCCGGCTCCAGGGTTGGAATGCCGCCATTTCTCCCGGTTGCAACACACCTGATACAGATGATCAGATGATCAGCCAGCTCTGATGCAACATCAGGACGATCCTGATGATTTGAATCAAGGTGTATTGCTCCTGGGAGACAACGCTTGATGGGTGCACTGGCACTCCAGAGACGGCGCTCTTTGCTTACAAGCAATTCTAAGGCACATTGTCCATAAGATGTTCCCTTCTAATGAAATGACTCTATTCATTCAAGCGTCCTTATTGTTATTTATTTTATAGCAGAAGAAACGGAGTCTGCACCAGAGCCTCTCCAGAAAATACAGCCGCCTCTCGAAAGTCATTTGTCCACATCAGCTACATTGACCCCTTCGGCCTGTGCCCACTCGTACAACCAGGGAACCGACAGCACCTCAAAGCAGGAGGAGGGATTCGTCAATTGCAGGGGGCCCCCAAAATGTCAGAAGGCAACGGACGGAGGGGAAACAGATCGCGCCGAGGAGGTTGGAGTGCTTCCAGTTTTCAATGCAATGAGAGAGCACAGACTCCCGCTTCCTGCCACAGAACTGGGCGACACTGCCTTGGTGACAACCAAAACTGTGTAGATTCTATTCCAACTTCAGACATCTTCCTCATGAAGTGCCACAGTGTAAAAGACATTCAGAATATGACACCTTCAGTGAGCAAGTGTGACATGCTGCAGGGCAACCCGTCCAGTTTGCTTTTCAATTATTCAAGTGCACATGACTATCACTGACATCATGTTTAAATTGCCATCAACTCTGCCCGGCGAACAAATGATGACGCAAACATGCCGCGTGACCTCGAAAAGGAATCCAAGCAAATCATCCATGCTGCTGCGCCTGGTGGATGAATGTAATTTGTGACTTTTTGGAATGAATCCCGATGGATTTTTGGCACCGCTGCAATTTATAACATTAAAAATGGAACACGCGGAATGGTCGATGGCTTAGCAATTTCTGCGACGGACAAATATCACTGATAAGAAGCAACCACTGCATGAAGGTGCACCGAAGCCTTCAATGTGTGTGTTTATAGTTTTACAAAGTAGGAAGGAATTGTTTTCAAGATGAGGACTGTTTGCACACTCCTCTTTTGTCTGTACTGCTCTTTTTGATTCATTTTTTTGTTATTGTGTTGATTTGACTCATGTGGCTGTGAATACCTCGTTAAATATATACACTTGCAATCTCTCGGAATCTGGGTGAATGCTTAAATCAAGCTAGTCCCAACCTTAGAGTTATTCTAGACAACAATACCAAACCGTTAATTAGCATACTATGCATACTACTTATCAGAGTAGGATGCCCAGTCGTGTTCTTTAAATAATGGCGCTGCTTTTGTCATGTCATGTCAAATTCCATCCTTGTTCTTTTTCGAAGGTTACTGCAAGAAGAATGTGCTGGAGGCAGCTGCCTGTAAAGAATGACCGCGATGCAAAAATAATGACTTTTCACCGCATGGGCATACTCCGAGTCTCAGTTTCCACATTCCCGCGCGAGTCACTGCAGCTCTGTCCCCGTCGAGCAGCGTTCATTCAAACAGGTGCAGATTATGGCTGACGCCGAACGGCGCGGTACTCTGTCATCACAGATAAGTACTGGTGTTGTCGGTGACAGCCAGGTGGAAGTATTCGGGGGAGCTCTCTCCCTGCAGGCTGCTGCTGGTTTCTCGCCGTCTGGTGGACAACGTTTTCCTCTTTTCAAAGCTCTCTCTGCCTTTGCCGCGCTTTTCCAGGCTGGACACGATCATCTCTGCTAAGTCTTGCTGCAGTCGCTGGCAGTTCTCCCTGAGACCAACATGGAGGGAAACGGGGACAGTCAGACCGTCAGAGAGCCAAGGAGCTCTGAAAACAATTCAGGCACACGTTGTGCATTGCCTGAGGGTAAAAGGGATGATTTGTCATTTCTATTCATTAATTTTTTTTTTTTTAAAAGCTTATGGTCTATTTCAACAGAAAATTTCTATAGTGCGTATTTTCTTTGTCAGGATGACCTGGAACATAAGTCCACGATTGAAGGTGGGTAACCGTACTGAACGTTGGGTAGATTGGTTGACTTACGCTGTTGGTGGTGTGGGTAGATTGTATTTGCCTCCAGTTACTCCGGTTAACCAGTAAGTCATCTCTTTGCCTTTGCCCTGTGGGCCAATAAAAAGGACAACCGAAGGTAAAGGGATTACTCTTAACTTGTGTTCAAGTTTGGAGGAAGAAGAAGAAACAGCGAAGCCAAAGTGCACGCGGCTCACCTTCAGGTACGTTTCTCCTCTCTGCTCATACTCAAATTTACAATCGGTCCTTTGCAGGATGTTGATGGTGGACTTACTTATATGGATTCTCAGAGCTGGAACAGGGACACATTGGAATGCCACATTAAACCGATGTTCAACTCTGCGCTAATTGTGTGTCGTCGCATACTACGCGGTAGATGTGTATGCGCTCGGTTTCTTACGTAGGCCCGTGGACTCCATTCGTGATGCCGTGTTGACCGTATCGCCGAATAGACAGTAGCGGGGCATCTTGTTCCCCACTACTCCAGCAGCACAAGGACCTAGAGTACACAAACAGCCCACACACGGGACTGGTTGCATGAACCTCATAGCACTTGTTTATGGGTCGGAACCTCAAAGGTACTGGACTGAGACAGAGCATTTTTTTTTTAATACTCATATCTAAATGAGTGAAATGACAAAAAAAAAAAATCTTAAGATGAGGACGACCTTTTACCTGAATGCACACCAATACGTATCCAGAGAGGAATGCCGGGCAAGTGCTGCAGCTCAAACGTCCCAACAAATGATAAAATGTCCAGCGCCATGTGTGCAATGTCCACCGCATGCCTGTCCCCATTGCGTTTAGGCAGACCCGACGCAACCATGTACGCATCGCCGATGGTCTCCACCTGAAAACAAAGTATGCGATCAGCGCTCTGGTTCAAGATGACATCACGAATAAAAAAATTAAAAAAAAAAATATGTGGTGAGAGTGGCACCTTGTAAACATCGTGGTGGTCAAGGACGCTGTCAAAGTTCTTGTAGATCTCATTGAGCATGTCCACCACTTCCATGGGAGTGCTGTAGTGGCAAAGGGTGGTGAATCCAACAATGTCGCTGAAATACACCGTCACCTCTTCATAGAGCTCCGGCTCCACTCTGCCCGTCTCCTTCAGCGAGCGCACCACCGGGCTGAGGAAAGAAAGTTTTGGAGGCTCACAAAAACTACTAATAATAATAATAAATGCTCCTTCTGTCTGCTCCACTCTGCCCGTCTCCTTCAGCGAGCGCACCACTGGGCTGAGGAAAGGAAGATTTGGAGGCTCACAAAAAGTAATAATAATAAATGCTCCTTCTGTCTCACATTTCTAGTGCGACATAAACCCACCCAGGAAGTAGCATGAAGTTAAGGCGGTCTGCTCGGTCCCTCTCAGCCTTGTACAAGGACGTCCTCTCCTCCACCAGATTTTCCAAAGTCCTCGAGTACATCTGGAGGCGACGGATCAGGTTGTCCATGTATGTTTCTGTGGCTTGATTGTGCAAGTTGCTGCGACAACCAAAAAGGGGTTTCTTATTGATTACACTGCGCGGTAGAAAGACAGCAAAAAAATGTGCAAACGGTGACATACCTGAAAATCTTACGCAGAGTTAACTCGATTTTCTTGAAATCTGGCCTCCGTTCCGGATCTTCGTCCCAGCAGTTCTTTATCAGCATGTGCAACTGGCAACCATACGTACACACGCACGAAGACAGAGTCAGATCATCTCAGCATGACCTGAGTCAAAATGGCCACAATTCTTATGTCATCTTGTTTCTCTCACCTCGATATCTTTGTCTGACACGCCATCAAAGTGGAGTTCCGGCCTAAAGACACCCATCTCATTGGGATACTGCACCCTGTACATCTTTTCTGAGGGATGACAGAACATTTTCAATTGTCCAAAATGGCTTGGCAAAATGCCGAATTCGGAACCACGGATGGGGATTAAGGTGAGGAGTCAAGACCCCGAGTTATATCAACTAATCAATACCTGCACGACTCAAATAGTGCTGCGTGTAGAACGGAGCCTGCCTCAGAATGATTTCATGTGCGATGATGCCATAGCTGTAGACGTCTCCTTTTTGAGAGACCCCATCTCTACGGAGGTGCTCCGGGGCGGTCCATACATCTGAGCGCAGAAGAGAGAAGCTCAGATGTACGCTACAGTCTTACGAGTAATAATCGCCGCCTCGGATCCTGATCGCTTCGACCGCTCACCTCTGCCTGGCCTCAGGATGGTGTGGCAGCCAAAGTCGGTGATCTTGACCACCATGCGGTTGTCTACCACGCAGTTGGTGGACTTCAGGCGCCCGTGGACTTCGATATTGCTGGAATGGAGATATGACATGCCCTGGTGCAGGTGGGTGAGAGGTCCGGTTAAAATTTGCAGTACCAATTCTCAAGGCGTCTCCCAATTCATATCAAACATGAATAATGATACCCGCAACTCGTTGTGCGGTCATTATACATTACCTTTGCTATGTCATACATGACCGATATTTTAAACTCCCTGTCCATGAAGGTTTCGTCTGGGTAGGAGATTCTGTCGTTCAGAATGTACTGCAAGGATGAAACAGATGAAAACATTCTGTATGTGTATGCCGTCTGTATGGGAATGCCATCCAGACAAAACAATTCGGGATTGGGTTATCGTAGACAGATCATTCGAGATAAGACTTGTGGAAATGACTGTAATCGTTGTCAATGTCCAAAAAGTGACCAAACGCCAAATGCGTAGGTAATCTCAAGTTATTGCTTGACGACTACGGCAAGCCTTTTAGTGTTCTTTTAAGCCATAACGATCAACAATAAAATGATTGTGTGCAATGCAATGCAATACAATACAATACATCTTGATTTATATAGCGCTTTCACAACAGCTGCAGCTGTAACAAATGGAAAAAGGAGGCAATCAACATCATCGTAAACAACGTTAATTGTGTAATAAGCTGCATCTGCATTGTACTTATCGGGCCGTGTGCCTTGCGTTGTTCCCGCTCGCCCGGCATTGTGTTCCATCGTGTCCTTCGGGCTTCGTCAAATTTGTTTGATTGGTAATTGTTTTGAATTCTTACATTAGCGACACTAATTATGTGTATCTCTGCTTTCCTTTCCTGCCGTCACAAAGGATAAAGTGCGTTGATTCGTGTTGAATTTTTTTTTTTCTCACCCTGAGGGAGCCCCTCTGGCACAGCTCAAACACTCCGAACACGGCATACTCAAACTTCACCGTGCCATAGAACTTAGTCAAGTTGTAGTAATCGATATGCAGCAGCTTGAAACAAACACACAAAGAGAAATTAAAATCTCACAACATTTTTTCCCAATATAATGGCGAATCCAAGTACTTAAAATGTTCCCTTTGGAAAGATGATGCTCTGTTGTGATGCAGGGAGGTCATCATTTCACAATTACTGTGTGTTTATGATCGTGGTTTGCGATGTCTTACAGTGTTCAGCTCAATCTTCTGGTCCTCTGTGAGGTCTCCATCAGTTTGTCGCAGCTCTTTCAAGATAACTGGCTACAACCACAAGAATCAAAGGGTGTTAACATCCTGGCCTGTTTCTTCTCATTCTTCACATCAAAGTTTTTTGTTTTTTTTAAAAGGAACCTTTTTGTCATAGCGGCCTCGACGTGAGTAGAACGTGCTGTCCTTTCTCTTGTCTTCATCAATCTTTTTTCATGCAAACAAACAAGCATATAAATAATTACAGCAATGGGGCCGGGTGCTGTGATCGTAATAAATACCAACTAATGACTCCCACGCCCTTCTAATCTGAAATCACGATGAGGACTTTTACCTTTAGGGAGACCTCCTTCTCATCCAACGGCCCAATCAGGTGAGGGTTGATGTGAGACCACTTTTTCTGCATTTGGCGTTCTTTTCTGTTCTGCCTAGCGTGAAGTGGATTCTCAAATGAATTTGGATTAAAAACGCGTTTGCACACAAACATACTGCTTCCTACTTGTAGAAGATGAGCGCGATGGCAGTCACCACGACAACACTGAGGCTCAGAACGATCACAATTACATCCTGCATGGTCAAGCCTACAGGCACACGAACAAAAAACATCGTCAGATATCTAGGAGGGTTGATATCAGAAGTTGGTTCATTCAATGAGATAAAAGTGGATTTCAATTTATATTCACAAAAATTTGTGAGAATAATCAGCGTTTGAATCGATTATTATTATGCCTACAGGTGCTGTATTCATTGAACTTAGTGAAGCATTTGACATTGTTGACCATTCTTTCCTTTTTTATCAATGATATTCTATTGTGTGTGTGTGTGTGTGTGTGTGTGTGTGTGTGTGTGTGTGTGTGTGTGTGTGTGTGTGTGGGCACGCTACCGTGTGAATCATCTGGTACATCGTTGGGCAGGCGATTTCCTTTCCAATGCAGATCATAATTTTCGGCCACCCTAGATTCATTCTTCGATGTGTCAAATACTAGCAGAGTCTCATACTGCATCGGAAAAAATCAAAAACAGCAACTCTCCTTCATATTATGGTTGTGATTCTCAGAAATGATGAAAGATGCTGCAAGTCATCTCACCTTGCCGGTAAGAGTCGATGTGTAAATCATCGAGAAGTTAACATCTCTGTCACCGTACTCGTCCAGCACGTAGTGACCTCCCATACCTGCGTGCAGCAAACATTCCAGTTTGCACTCCATTCATCCATCCATGCATCGACCATTTTTTTATACTATTTCGTCTCATTAGCTCGGCTGGCTACACCCTAGACTGGCTGGCAATTACATAAATACAAATTCAAATTCTTAACGATAAACTACCGGTATTGAGAGTCTTCAAATGTGCAGCAAACATTCCAGTTTGCACTCCATTCATCCATCCATGAATCGACCATTTTTTATACTATTTCGTCTCATTAGCTTGGCTGGCTACACCCTAGACTGGTGGTTGCTTTGGTTACTCTGCTGACTGAGCATCCTCTCCCTGAGCACTTTACCAAACAGGAGAGCGCCGTCATGATAACCAGCCACATAGTCATTGATCTGCCGTTGACAGAGAGAAAGAGTTAACGACCTGTGCAATTTCCCACCATTCATTGAGAGGTGTTTAAAATTAAACTCGCCGTGTCGTTATAGGGTAAACTCGAGCCGTAGTCGTAGTTTCTCTGTGGGAGAGTGATGACCAGGACATCGTGCATGCCCTGACTGGAAGTAGTATTGACATAATACTCAGGGCTGGAAGAGAGAAAAAGGCATCAAACGTATCAATATATACGTTAGGTGTGTTGAGGAGCTTTGTGGCAGAAAATTTAATCTGAATCATGTCATGCTTACTTGTAAATGTCCACAAGAATGAACATGGTATCTCGGTGAATATTGCCCACTTTGGCCTTGATTGAAATCACGTCATCAAGACGGCCACAAATGATGAAAACTGAAATGAATATCCATTTGCGTCATGAGTGCAAGAAACATATGACACGGGTTTTTAATTCACCCACAACGCAGAATTTACTTCTTTTTTTTCCCCAATTGTGTCATCATCAACTTGTAACTCAGCAACTGGACTGTTGTGAAATGTCAAGTATACGATACTCACTATTACTGTGTCTTTTCTCAGACATGAGAGCTTTCTTGAGCTCATCCTCAGAACGTAGCATCTCCCTCTTTAGTGTTGTAGCGAAGTTGGCGGAAGGCGCTTCCAGTGCATTTGTGTACCTGTGACCAAAAAAAGGAGACGACAGCAAGGGGATGAGAACACGTCCTCAAAGCATAGACCTGAGCGAAGACTGTATGTTGCGGTCGCTCACCAGAAGCAATCCTCGGTCGCGTTATAGATCGACTTCTTGTACACGTAAACATGCTTCCACACCTCTTTGAATGGCAAATGGGCCGTCAGAAAATGAGAGAACATGTCCGAGATCTTGCGTGCCGGCGGCAAGATCCGAGTCAATTTGGGTTTGTAGTCGCACGAGAGCCCGAAGCTCCCCGCAGAAATGATGGGAATGCTCAAGGTCAGGCCAATTTCATCACTGACACACCAAGGATGCCACGTTAGATCAGTTGGTAATGACACACATAAGACCATAACAGAGAAGCAGCGTCATACTCACTCCACCAACTGGAAGGTGGCATACGTGCATGAAGGCCCAAGCATGACACATCCAGCGTCACCATTTTTCTGTAGATGGTTCAGAGTGGTCAGAGACATCTGATAAAATATCTCCCACTAAATAAAGGTGTCACAAAAAATATGTTCAGTAATGCCCTTCCACCGCTGGAGTTAATTTCCAGACCACCCTCACAATCATCGAAATACACAATATAGAAATGCCCGATTTAAATACACCCTCGACATGTTTTCATTGTATTTATGGCAATTCATTTGTTGTAAGATCTTCAGACACACTTTTAAAATACTACAAAGACTTTTAAACACAAGCTGAATGGTTAACACAAAAATATGCTACAAATGACCCCAGCAAACTGTGTTTTTTTTTTTTTTTTGTAGAAATTAACAAACTTAACTTTTCATTTCACAATATACATAAATAATCATGGCCAAAGATGGTCATCATAAAATAAACGTACAGTCGTCGATTTCTGTCATCACAAAATGTAGGAATGAAGTGGATCGAAATTTAAAATGCTTCAGCAAAAACTAGCGGGAACTGAAATACTGTCCTTTACTTCCTGTTTGTCTTCTTCTTTTGTCAAATATACAGTGTCAAACTCAATAGTGCATGTTGTGGTCAAGTGTGGAATTACAACATAAATAAACAGCCAGAACAAAATACATTTCAACTGTTGAAAAAAAATAACGAATCAGCGAAATGGCCTGCCCACTAACCTGATACTTGCAATTGAGGGGTTTACTGGATGTTAATATTTCTCCATTCCGGCACAAATTTACCTGGGAACCCAGTCATTCTGAAATGGGGGGCCGGACGATGGGATAGCAGACTTGCCTCAGACATACTATTCTATGTTTAGCAAAAAAACGTAATTTACTACAATTTCAAAAGGAAAGAAGTACAACGCACCCCCCAAAAAGCCAGTTTTCTACTTATTCGGGTGATTTACATTTTGCTGAAAATTCTCATAAAAAGAAGCTGATGAGTTTCTCTCTGCCAAATGAGTAACTGACATGAGTGCTGCCATGTGCGGTCACAATAAAATCATACAAAAAGAAAAAAAAAATAGTGTGTGATGTTGATGTGCACTCACATGCAGCATTTTGAGGATGGCGACACCCTCACAGGTGCTGCTGCCACAGCCCTGCCGGTTGTACACGGTGGTGTTGAAGCCTTGGAAGTTGGCTGTCAAAGTGAAGGTTAAATCTGGAGCCATGGAAGACAACACTTGTCGTTATGTGAAAGTGTATCATTTTTTTTAGTAGCTAAGATGAGATAAATATGTCGGTTTTTGCCTTTGATCTGCCTTGTGAATAATTTCAAAACTGTGACAATATTGTTGTCCTGTAATTTGAGTCTCAGTAATCATTTTGAACATTTACTATTTGAAGCAATGTGGTTTTTATGCTCTTTGAAAGTGTCATGTCTGTTTAGTTGCTCTTGGTCTTTGGTGTTTGCTTGTAGGTATCCCGTGTTTTTTTTTATATGTACGTTCTTTTTTTATTAGTGCTCTTTGTTATGATGTGAATTGTACTCAGCCTTCTTGGCCAGATCGCCCTCAAAAAAGAAACATCAGTCTCGATGGTTTTGACTGATACAAAATTATACTGTATGCGTGCCTGATGTGTTTACCCACCCATCAAGTGTGAAATGAAATCACAAAAAATAAATCTGTCGTAAACTGCCTATTTCTGAAAATGCCTGTGAGCAAGCTGTTCTGAATCATGTCGAATTGTTACATTTTAATTGAGATGATTTACTTCAAACATAAATTTAAGATAAAGTCCACTGGATATTATTTTCTATAAAATATTAACAATTGGGAATCCCCCCGCCTCTGCCCAGCCCCCATAATTTTACAGACAGTATCTATCCTGTCCAATGAAAAAGCATTTTTCAAACAACAAAAAATACACCAAATTTATGGATTTGTGTTTTTCATTGGACAGCAATGATGCAGATAGGAGCGCCCAAAAATATGAAAGATTCAATCCCTACTATTTTTAATGTTCTCCTTCCTGTCCTCTTCGATGGCTCGCTCCACCGCAGCCTGCACTAAGGGCAGACTCCACTCGTACGTGTTGTCTTCCAGCAGCACAACGTTCATCGTGAATCGACGTTTGGAGGACAGACAGTCGTCCAGCATCTTGTTGCCAATCACTGCCATGACCAGCACTGCCAGGTAAGGCAAACTGTTCAAGCCACTCATCTTGATCCTCATTCTAGTCTTTGATTCGTCTTGTCCACGGTTCCTACATCTCAACAACAAAATCTGTTCCAGTTCTTTTCAGGTTTCAGTGCCTCCCGAGATCAATTCGATCCAGAGTGAGAAAGCAGACGTCGGTTAGTCCCCTTGATTCACAGTCCAGCGTCCAAATGAGAAAAAGAACTCAACTTTTTCCGGGGATTTTTGACCCTTGACTGAGTTTGAGTAAAGACAATGCGGAAGACTGCCTCCACACCCGTTGCTTCCCCAGTGAAAGCTTGAGAGCAATAATCCTCCAGCTCGGTGTGTGGCTACGCTATCAGTCTTCCCTCTGTGTGTTAATGAACAACTGTATAGGTGACGGTCACAACACCAGTCAGGCCACGGCAGGCGAGAGAATGCAGACTCCCACACTCCATCGGGGCCAACAGCGTACTCATCTTATTGACCGTCTAACTGCGATGGAAAAACCTTACTGACATGGAACTCTTCACAAAATTGCGAAAGAATGTCAGTGACTGCCTGATCCACCTGGTTTGATCCTGAATAGACCACTGTCGTTTGAGTGTTGAACTGAATGGCGAATACATACGGTGACTTATGTCAAAAAGGCAGAGGGCTTGCATGGCGAGAAGGACAAAGGTGACGGCAGGCTATAAAGACAGGGTTGGTGTGGAGCTGATAAACGGTGTATGCTATAAAAGTAGGGTGGATTAAGCCTGTAAAAGACCAGACTTCTTATGAACCACAGTCACCACCGACCACTGTCAAAAGACTTTTTTTTTTTTTTTTTTTTTGGCTTTCACTGGTGTGCAGGGAAGTCTGAATTT